CACACACACACACAAAAAAAAAAGAAAAGAGCGGTAGATGATATAGGAGGAGCATATGACGACACGTAGGAGAAGAAGAAGGTGGATACTGGAGAAAAGAAAAATGAAAGGAACCTGCCGAAGGACCATTGGGAAAAAAAAAAGAAAAAAAAGAAAAAGTGAAAGGAAGGTTGCATATGACGACACGTAAGACACGTAGGGGGCAGCAAGCAAGCACGTGGCATCATGTGTCCACGGAAAATGAATGACACGTCCACAAAACGAGCCTACAGTCTTCCCCCGAATACAACGCACGGTCATTATAGCTGAATTTAGACTGAAAGATAGACCAAATTCAGCTATAATGACCGTGCGTTGTATTCGGGGGAAGACTTTAGGTCAGTTGGTACACCCATGAACTGTTGAGATACAGCCGCAAGCTCGAATCCAGATGCAAAAGAAAGAAGTGAAAAAGGACACGTGGTGCTCTCTCCCGACGGAAAAGGACACTTCACACGTGGCATTGTAAAAAAACGCAGCCTAGCTCAGTTGGTGCACACCTATGAATTGTTGAAATGCAGACCCAAGCTCGGACCCAGATTCAAAAGAAAGAAAGGAACACGTGGTGTTCTCTGCCGATCGACGGAAAAGGACACAAGGCATTGTCAAAGAAACGCAGCCTGTCCTTTGGGACATCCGTAAAATTGGAACGATACAGAGAGAGAAGATTAGCATGGCCCCTGCGCAAGAATGACACGCATGAATCGAGAACTGGTCGAAATTATTAAAAAAAAAAACGCTGCCTCCCAAGGGAAGAGGACATGTGGCATGAATCCCAAAAAGGACTCATACCGACTTAGGCCCCTGATGTTCCTGGTAGGCGTGCCAGGTGAACCCGGTAGGGTCGTAACGCAATGCGGAGCTTCGGTTCCGCCTGTTCTTCATGTCATATTTTTTGAATCGACGTCGCATTCGGGACACTGTCTTTCCTTCTTCTTCTTCTTCCTCCCTCTTCTCCTCCTTCTCTTCTCCTTTTCTCCCCCTCTCTTCTCCTCCTCCTCTTCTCCTTTTCTCCCTCTCTCTTCTTCGTGTGTTTGACTCAGTTCTCACTTTGGAATGCTCTGCATGTTGGAGAGTTGTGACTTTCATCGTTGCTAATAGCTCTGAAGCTGACATACAAAAAAGGACTCATGGGATCACGGAAAACACCGCGGCGAGTGAAAGTCAAAATGCGAGCTCGAGTTGAAGTGGTGGAGCAGCAGGCGCCCGGTAGTGCTTCGGATTTGCGCTAAGTTTGCGCTCGTTCGAGCCCTAGTTGGGAGCGCTAGTTCGAGCCCTAACTAGTTCGGTAGCGCTTCCGTGCGCTAGGGCTGTGCTACATTCGATGTGCTTCGATGTGCTTCGATGTGCTAGTTCGAGCTAAGTTTGCGCTAGTTTGCGCTAGTTTGCGTTAAGTTTGCGCTCAGGCTTGGACCCCACTGGCCGGCGGCTGGAAACTGGTGTTGGCCATAAAAAATGGCCGACCGTGGTTGGAAACATTCTTCCTCGTTTCATTGGGACCCCACCGCAGGCCGATAGTTTCGCATTGGAAAAGTTTGGGCATACCCGAATAGGAAATCGCAACGGGGTGTTTCCCAAAAAGGCAAGCCCGGCGGGGTCTGTGGTCCATGGTCTGCTTGCGCAGCCAATGAAGTGTCTACAAAACGCCACGACGTCCAGCCCGATCCTGGAAACTGTTTTCCATGCCCCCCCCCCCTACTCGTCTGGAGCCGTCCCTGGAAACTGTTTGGAAACTCGTTGCCAAAAATTTCCAGACCGCGAGCCGAGTAGAAACGCCCCATCAGCTTTTCCACGACCTCTTTCCAACCACAGTGGGGCCTGAAATTCCTTTCCGGGCCGACTTTCCACGACGGTTTCCAACACCTGTGGGGTCTGAAAAACACTTCCTCGCCAAAACTTTTCCACACCGCCGGCCAGTGGGGTCGAAGCCTCAGTTTGCGCTCAGTTTGCGCTAGTTCGAGCGCTAGTGCGAGATCGAATGTAAGCACATCGAATGTAGCACAGCCCTAGCGCCCCGGGGGCGGGCGAAGCTTGACGCTTGACGGTGAAGTGGGTTCATCGAGTCCTGTGGCCACGAGTTGTGGAAAGATGAACGGCCCGATTGGAAGAAGGTATGGCGCTGCCATATCCTCGGTTGTCCATACCCTAACCTGCTCTTTGATTGGAGGAGTGCCTTGCACTCAGGGCCCAAGGTATGGCGCTGCCATATCCTCGGTTGTCCATACCCTAACCTGCTCTTTGATTGGAGGAGGAGTGCCTTGCACTCAGGGTATGGGGCCCACTTGGTCCCCTTGGGCGTCTATTTTACTCGAGTAATGAAACCTTTACCTCAGAAAATGACGAAGAATAGGCATTAAGCCTGATTGGCAAGATATCTGGAAGAAGATCATTGCTCGTCACTGCGGGGCAGGCACGAGTCTCCGAGATGAGGATAGGATAAGAGAAGCCACGTGACGGACGTGAAGAATGGCAGCAGCGTCTATGCAAGAGGTGGCAGAGTTAGTATGGGCGGCGGGAGGGCTGTGGCCAACACCAAGGACACAGCAGGGCTCATTAGTTTCAGGGTCGGCACCTAGTCGTGGTTGGTGGGTAGATTCATTTGTATAGAGTGTCAATGTGTTGTACTGAGCCGTATTCATTGGTTAGGTTCATAGAAATTTAGGGCTACTCTATCGAAATGAGGTTTTCCTCTTCTACTGCATATAGTGATACGTTATCTGGTTGAGGGGACTTGTCAAACTTCTTTGAGGTATCACAGAAGTTGCAACCAAGACAGCAGTGTCATGGGGTGAAAGTGGTTTAGGGTGAAATTCATGGGACCACCAGTAGCAGCGTCTCGAGGAGTGAGAGTGCGACAAGAGGCAGCGGGAACTCTACTGTCGTGGTGGTAAGAGAGACCTGGTAAAGAGCAAACTAGCGTTGTTCCCATTGGGTGCGTGGTGGGAAACCTGTCTAGGCAACAAAGGCTCTTTACAATGCTTTGGACAGTGATGATGAGAGGGCAGCATTGATACTGACGCGAAGGACTTGTTGTTATGTGATTGGAGGTCTAGAAGGTTGGGTGTTATATCTATATTCGGGGCTATTATATATTTGCTATGGATTTCTGTAGAAAATAATGTTGAGCTCGTTCTATTTTTGCTGTTCTCTAGGTTAGTATAACCTCTGTGCTGCTGTCTGTTGGTCGTATTCTATAGTATTGTGGGTGACACTGTGTAGGAATTTTGTCTATACTGGGTATGAGGTTGGGAAAGCTTGCAGTGGACCTTAGGGTGTAAACCACGTGACTACCAGTAGCGGTGCCTCGAGGATCAGTGAGAGTGCCACAAGAGAGGCAGTGGGAACTCTACTGGCCTGGTGATAAGAGAGACCGAGTAAAGAGCAAACTAGCGTTGTTCCCATTGGGTGCGTGGCGAGAAACCCGTCTAGTAGGCAACAAAGGCTCTTTACAGTGTTTTGGACAGTGATGACGAGAGGGCAGCCTGGACACTGATGAGGGGACTAGTATTTGTTATCTGAGGTCTGGCAGGTTGGGTGTTATCTATATTTACTATTTACTATGGATTTCTGTTGAAAATATTGACCTCGTTTTCCTGCTATTTTTTAGGCTACAATAGTACAGTCTCTGTGCTGCTGTCTTTCGGATGTATTTTAGGGCACCGTCGCCTCTAGTGGTTCGTTGTTGTTGTTGGTTTTTTTTTTTTTTTTTTTTTTTTTTTTTTTTTTTTTCAAAAGGGGTGACGGTCTTGAGATATTATCATTGAGCTGACCGGCCCCAAGCAATTCATTAGTAGTCGGTTATACTCGTCAAGTTCCATCATCTGGATTCGAACACAGGTCTGTATTTCAACAGTTCAAAGGTGTACCCACTGAGCTAGGCTCTTGGGTAGTGGTTCGGTTTTAGAAATATGTAATTTAAAAAAATCGGATCTAGAAATGGGCTTTTTCTTTTTTTTTTTTTTTTTTT